CAGGGCACCTTTAAGGAAGGCAGAACCACCTTAGGAGGTAGAGGGTGAAACGTGGCAACTCTTCCACAGGTGAATCAATATAGCAGACATGCTCAGGGTAGGAGGTTTTGCTAGGGCTTAAATCAGGTTGTCAACTCAAACACAATGGGCTTTGTTACTTCTGTATAAAGAGGAAATGGAGCAGTTTTTGGCCTCCTCAGACTGTATTGTAGGGTATACAGGATGGCAATTCCAGGCACAATCTTCAGGAGACACAAATCTGCTTTTAGCTATTCAGTGTTCCCCAGCAAGTTAATTAGCTGTTTCTGAAATGCATGGAAATATTCAGCATTTTCATAGTGAAGCCAATCTCCCAGATTTAAGCTTTGGGGGTGGGAATGAGTACGTGAGGAAGGGGGTCTGTCAGGGAAACAGAATAGAGCCCTTTTGGTGAGAGATCCCAACACCTGTGATTTATCTTAGAAATTACACATGCACTGTAATTCCAATACTTTAAAAAATTTTTTTTTTTTTTTTTTGGTTTGAGCACTCCAGCTGGAGGGCTTGCTGACACCTCTCACTATCTTAGGCATGGGGAGTTACCTCTGGGTTCAAAAGTCCTTGGGTTGCAAGCACGGAGGAACTGCGAAATACCTCCCTCAGAAATGCCCAACTGCGTAAGGGCAGAAGCAGGGAGTGGGCTCAGGTAGCAGCCAAGAAGGTTGCAGGAGCCAGGGGCACATCGTCTCACTGAGCGGTAAGGTTCCTGCAAGTGGGGTTTGGGGACCATTGCTTTGACAACTTGTCAAGGGTGCGGGGAGGGCTGTCCCAGCAAGGTGAAGGAGTCTGTAGGGAAGGTGTCTGCCCGGAGACCTCCTAAAGAGCAGAAGAGCGCGCGCCCCGCCAACTGACAGTACGCGCCCCTTCTGTATCCGCTCCCCTCCCCCGCGGCCAGTCTCCGGGCAGAGGCGTCTCACGCCAGCAGGTCCTCCCTGGCTCCTCTCCTCACTAGTCCGAGCGGACCGAGCCTCAGCGGGAGCCTCGCCCGTCTCCAGGCAGCTTGAGGCCCCGAGCGCTTGCCCAGCCTGTCAGTAACCGCCGTTTGCGTTTTCTTCCTTTCTTTCTTTCTTTTTTTTCTCTTCTTTTCTTTTCCCCTTCTGCCTTTGTCCCGCTTAGTAACTGGGCTCTGACCAATCGCCGCCTTACCGGCCGGCGCCGGCTCTCTCCTGATTGGCCCGCTTGGGGCGCGCAGCCGTCTCCCGCTCCTTCGCAGGAGCAAGGCAGACAAAAGACGCAGGCTCCAGGCTCCGGCAACCGGCCTCAGCCAATCACCACCCACCTTGCCTCTCTTCCCTCGCCCCGCTCCCTCCCCGCCTGGCTCGCGTGCTCCCGGCACTGACTCCTGGAGTGCGGCCAGCGCCCGGGCCGTACCATTCTGATTGAGGCTGGGGGAGAGCGCGGATGGCTGATTGGGGAGCCGAAGCCTAGAGAGCGGTGGGGAGACGTGAAAGTCGAGATGGAGGGCAGCTTTTTGAAGGTGTTCTCAGGCACCTG